TCTCTCAACCTCGTGATCCGCCCGCCTCAGCCTCCCAAAGTGCTGTGATTATAGGCGTGAGCCACTGCTCCCGGCCATGAAATGAGTTTTATATGTTTATGCCTTGTTTATTTTGTTTACCCATATGAAAAAGAAAATATGTTTTCCCATGTTCGTGTCTTATATGAAAGAAAGAAAGATTTTAGAACGTATTTAGTCTTCAATTTAAATGAATTGAAGCTGGTACACAGTGCTAGAACTTTGGTCTAGAGCTCAGTAAACCCAACTGGTATGACAGAGAAATATGGGATAAGTGACAGGTAAAAGTGGCAAGTAAAGAACTCTGTAAAGATAATGACACAGTATGGATCATTTTTTAGGGATAGTGAAGCTGAAGAAGAAATACTTACCCACTTTCTGGTTGTTCTTTGAGCTTGCACACCAATCTTCCAGATTACAAAGGAAGAATTTTCTGGGACTGGGTATCAGAAATCTTTCCTAAGGCTGTTTGTAGGAGGTTTAAAACTCTGTGCAAATGTGCACATTTGCCATGTGTGTGTGAAATACTCTTTAAAAATATAATTGAAAATTGTCCTTATTCTAAAAATGTGAACTGTGTAATTTACCTTGATTTGGCTGAAGTTAATAAATTGGATAGCTCCTTAAGGGCTTTATTCTCTTGATAATTGCCTACTTGTGTGAATGCAGATTTTATCTAGTTTGAATTTGTTTCAAAGACACATTGTTTTGTAAAGAAAATATATTTTTTTTCCGTGTGGTATTGCATAGCACATTGAGAAAATTGATGATATTTATTGTTTCATTTTATGATTTTTCTTTGAATATAACATTTTGCTCTTTTATTGGAAATAAAACTGCTCCCAAGAAGAAAATTGTATTTCCTTTTAATTTTATGATAGTGCATTTGAAATAATGAATATCTTGACAAGGTGATGAAGATGATTGCCAACCACGATTTAATAACACTGAAGAAATTAGTTTTGATTCCTTTGCTTATCTTGTGTGCTATAGTCTAGTTCCTTTTTTGTTTTTTTTTTTGAGATGAAGTCTCACTGTCACCAGCCTGGAGTGCAGTTGTGATCTTGGCTCACTGCAACTTCTGCCTCCCAGGTTCAAGCAATTCTCCTGCCTTAGCCTCCTGAGAGGCTGGGATTACAGATGCGCACCACCACATCTGGGTAATTTTTGTGTTTTTAGTAGAGACGGGGTTTCATCATGTTAGTCAGGCTGGTCTCGAACTCCTGACGTTGTGATCCGCCCACCTCTACCTCCCAAAGTGCTGGGATTACAGGTGTGAACCACTGTGCCCAGCCATGTTTAGTTCCTTTTAAGTCTTTTCTTTGACATTTTATATGACTTTCAGACTGTGTGTGTATACATATGATATAAATAATTATGTATTAAAGTATATTAAAATATTAATCACATAAAATATATAGTTTAATTTATAACTTAATATTAACTATAATTAGCATAACTATTAATACGGTATATATAAAATAAATCTATATATTATGTATATTTTACGTATATATACACACGCACATGCATAATCTGAAAATACATATATACTTTTTAGAGACGAGATTTTGCCCTGTTGCACAGGCTGGTTCACTGCACCTTCCACGTCTCAGGCTCAAGCAATTCTCCCACCTTAGCCTCTCTAGCAGCTGAGACTATGGTGTGTGCCAGCGTGCTTGGCTAAACTCTTTTTGTATTTTTTGTAGAGATAGGGTGTCACTATGTTGCCTAGGTTGGTCTCAAACTCCTGGGCTCAAGTAATCATCCTGCCTCAGCCTCCCAAAGTGTTGGGATTGCAGGCATGAACCACAAGGCCTAGTTGACTTTCAGATTATATTAAAATTCACTGTTATAAAACCTTTGAATAGCATAATGATAGCAAATAGTTGCTTGAAGCAGTTTGTGTAAGTCATAGTTGCAAACCAACTTTTTAGTTATTTTTTGCTTACTTTTTTTTTCTTTTCTTTTTTTTTTTTTTGAGACGGAGTCTCACTCTGTCACCCAGGTTGGAGTGCAATGGTGCAATCTCGGCTCACTGCAACCTCCGCCTCCCAGGTTCAAGCAGTTTTCTTGCCTCAGCCTCCTGAGTAGCTGGGATTACAGGTGCGTGCCTCCACGCCCAGCTAATTTTTGTATTTTTAGTAGAGCTGGGTTTCAACATCTTGGCCAGGCTGGTCTTGAACTCCTGACCTCGTGATCCGTCCACCTTGGCCTCCCAAAGTGCTGGGATTACAGGCGTGAGCCACTGCACCCGACCTTTTTGCTTACTATTAGGCTATTTTAATTATCTATATTAGGTAAATAGTATATGAATAAAATACTTAAATGTAACTGTTGACATGTAATGACATCTAGGTAATTCACGTTGGTAATTTAAAATTATTTACTAATTGTATATGGCTGTTTTTCTTTCTCATGAGTGATTTGTTTAACTCAGTATTTACTCATTCAGTTATTTATATACTGTAGTTATTTATTTATTTTAGTTTGGATCTCTTTGATGGTTTTGAGAGTTTACCCTCCAATTTAGCCTCCTAGTTGTCTGGTTAGTGTTTACCAGTTCAAATAATCAAGTGATCTTACAGTGGAGATATATATATATATAAACAAACTTACCAGTGAATATATATATATGTGGTGAAGTCTTTTAGTCATCATCACTGATACATGTTTCTCCGCATGGCTTATTTGATGTAATCAGTTTCCTGGGGGTTACTTTGTTGGGTGCCCCTCAGAATTTGACGCCAAGACCTACCCTCTTAGAATAAACCTGGTCAAAAATATGTTGGGATGATTGTTATTTTATCTTTAGAAATGACCTGTTTTGAGATGTAATAATCTTGAGATATGTCTTAGGAGACTGGAGAAATGGCCAAACTTAAAGGTGATACATCAAGACTAGAATTAAGTTGCAGTGTACTCATTATTATATATGCTTTAAATTGTTTCTTTGAAGGATGTTTTACATAAGGGCAGTGCTTCCTTTTTAAAGGAAGTGAAATTTGATAATGAGAAGTTAGTGCGTGTCCATCGCCATTTGGGAAAAAGAAATCTGTTTAGGAGTCATGACTATCATCAGTAGAGAAGTATTCTTTATTGTTGGTTATCTGTAAGTAGTTCAGCATGGTTTTTTATAGTCTGAATGAAATACTCTCAGAACTTTTCAATTTCCATTTATCAGATTCCATGTTTATTATGCTTTGTTGGTAGTAATATATACTTCTAGGCAACTTGATGCTGAGAAAGAGTTATTTATGATTATGAATGTGACATTGCTTTCCAGCAGATTTTGTTGGTTTCTCAGGTACTGACAGCCTTATCAATGCTGAGTTTATAGACAAAATTGAGTTTTAGGAATTTTAATGATCAAAACCTGATTGACCAAGATACTGTCGGTGAAGTCCTGCCTGAATTTCTTATTGCAGCTTTGATAAATAGTCCACTCTTTTAAATTCAAAATCAAGGAAAATATTTTAACTTAAGAACAATTTTAGGTGGATCTGAAAGTGTAAACAGAAACTTTAAATATAAGTTATTCCTCAGTATACCTAGGGGATTAGTTCCAGGATCCCTGCAGATACCAAAATTAGCACATATTCAAGTCCCATAGTCGAATGTGGGGAACTTGGGAATATGAAAAGTTGGTACTTCATATATCTGAGTTTTGTATCCCGCAGCTGTATTTTCATTCTGTGTTGTGTTGAAAGAAATCCGCATATAAGTGCATCTGACCAGTTCAAACCTGTGTCCCATTGTCAACTGTAACTTGTAATTGCAGACACGTATATAAGGAAACTTTGCATTTGATAATTGGAGTGCAGTTGAATTGAAGTATGACATGTCCTACTCTAAAATGTAAAGAACAGTGCCAAGTTATCTTGTTTGTTGGATATGTTCATGAGAATCTTTAAGGGTTTTTATTACATTAGCTGCGTAAATAGAATGACAAAATCCTCTCAGAATATTGAGTTTGGTGAGTGAGAAGAGGAAAAAGGGTAATGACTGATTGTTTTTGTTCATTTCAGTAATCAACAAATGTTCACAGAAGACAGAATAATTTAAAATTTCTAAACAGATTAGATACATTTTTGGCTCAGTTGTGCCTGGAACTCAGCCTAATGTAACTGAACTTTTCAAACTGTTCTATAGCTTTAGGTGTGTAACTTTGCCTTTACAATTGTATTACACCTGTTTGTGTAATCTGTCACCTCTAAAATTAGATCGAAGACTTTTTTGTTTGTATGTTGTTTTGCATGAGTTTGGTCTTTTATATATATATTTTAGTACCTGGTACAAAGGGAGCTCAATAAGTATTTACCATAATTAATTAAGTATTTACCATAATAATCTGAATTCTTTAATGACAGCTCGTATTTTTTATATTTTTTATTTTTAATTTTTTGTGAGACGGAGTTTCACTCTTGTTGCCCAGGCAGGAGTGTAATGGCATGATCTTGGCTCACTGGAACCTCTGCCTCCTGGGTTCAACCTGTTCTCCTGCCTCAGCCTCTTGAGTAGCTGGCATTACAGGTACCTGCCACCATGCCTAGCTAATTTTTGTGTTTTTAGTAGAAATGAGGTTTCACCTGTTGGCCAGGCTGATCTCTAACTCCTGACTTCAGGTGATCCACCTACCTCAGCCTCCCAAAGTGCTGGAAATACAGGCATGAGCCACCGTGCCCAGCCCATTTTTTATTTTTTAAATTAAAAATGTATTAAGTGTTTTCCTACCGTTAATGCTTTTGCAGTAGGAGTAAAACTATTTTTAAAATGTCATGTGTGTCATTATATATACTACATTAGGTGAAAAAGTATATAAAATGAATTTATTTCTGTATTTTAATACATTTCTTATAAATCACTGGTTTTTCAGATCTTTTTCCTCATCTCTTCCCTTTACTATTCTTTTTCTTTTGTGATTTTATGTGACATTAACAAAATAAACACAATTTACTTATACTGTTTTTCTCTGTTTTTAGGTTGTTATGGAGTTGATGGAGAGAGTGACTCTATTATGAGTTCAGCTTCTGAAAACTCCACTGAACCTTGGTTTTGTGATGCCTGTAAATGTGGTGTTTCTCCTAGCTGTGAACTATGTCCTAACCAGGATGGAATTTTCAAGGAGACAGATGCTGGAAGGTTGATGTCCTAATTATGTTGGTTCATATGTTTGCTTTATAATATGTTTGCTTTTGACTACTCTGCTCTTCTGTTTATGATAATACAGGTTACACACATTCATTTGATTGCTTCTTTGTATCTTCTTGGCATAGACTAAATGACCAGTGGGATACAGATGGAGAAGGGCCAGAGGAAAGACCAGTTATCGAGTACCTGCATTGGCCTTTTTATCTGTAATCTTATTTAATCTTAATAATTGACCCTATGATGAGGCAGGTGGTAAAGTTTCCTGTTTTATAGGCGTAATACCAAGGGCTCAGATTATTTAAATAACTTATTAGTTTAAGACCACAAACTGGTGAATGGTCAATTTTGAACCTAGGTCTGTGTGACTTTTTATCAAGAGATAGAACTTAATACAGTGATTTAAAAAGGAGAAGTTTAGGACAAAGAATTATTAAGATACAATAAAAGAGTCACTATAAGGTATTAAAAAACTCTAAACGGTGCTCTGGGGTGGAGGGAGATTATCCAAGGAATGACCAAATTGGAAGGATGACCTCTTACCCTAGGTAAGGTTCAGGCTGTGTTGGGAAACTATAGTTAAACCCTACTGGATAGAGAGAAGTATGCAGGTTATAGCCTAAGCCACATTTTGTCTTCAGTTTGTGGCAAGTAGGTGACTGGTATAGTCTGCTAAGAGAACTGGGGCACTGGTTTGAAACCTGGGGAATATGCTATCTGAATTCAGAGAGCCATGGAAAAGTGATCCTCAGTTTGAGCCAGGGCTGTGTAGTCACTGAGGGACTGTGTATATGGCTGGACAGAGCACAGGAGGATGTGCTCTACCCATCCCTGCTGAAAAGCTCCTCCCTTCTACATGACTCTACCATTGAGTTTATAGTTCCCTCTACCATTGAGTTTAGTGTCATGCTCACTATAAGAAGAAATGCTGAATAAATTCTGTCCATTATTGCAAAGTAGATATAGAAGCATGCATGAGAGGCAATTAAATTGATAAGTGGCACAAAGACCTGTGTTCTTTTTAATGTATTTACACTTATGTTTGTTAACACATTTGAGCAGTTGTCATCATAATGGTGTGGACATCTTCATATTTACTTATTTATTTATTTATTTATTTATTTTTTATAGCAGATTACCATCTAGGGTTGGTGACTAAAATTAAGAATAATTTTCAACCTTTTGTATTTTGTGGAGATCACTCTCTGCCTCTTCCTCTCCCTTATAAGATGGGGGATACTTAAATTTTTATTCTGTCACATAAGGATATTTCAGTATTTTATTAAACATCCTTTATAGTAAAACCAAGAATAACAATAAAGCAGCCTATATACATTATCACCATCATTTCCCATATTTTAACATCAAAAAGCTGGGTACATTATGTCCTAAAATAAAGGATAGACCTTATTAAAATTTACTCTAGTAAAAAATATTTGTCTTATTTTTCTCATTTTTACCTCAGTTGGTAGACTGATCCTTGGGAAATGTTGCCATAGAAGATTGCTGGGATAGCATAGAATCTACCGTGGAATCTTGGAGAACCCCATCTGTTGATGTTCAGGACAAATGACTAAAGAATCTTACCTCTCATTCTTTGTCATCTATCCAAAAATAAAATATATAACAAAGGATTTGATGTATTGCCATGAATCTGTGGTCTATATCTTTGGTGTAGGTATTTAAGTTTGGCCTGACATTGATCTAGTATTAGGGAGTTTAGTAAGCATTAAAAGTGTGTACTTTCAAGTTGGACTGCCTGTTTTTGGATTCTGGTCTTTTTTTCTTTGTTTTTACTAGCTATAATTTTAGGCAAGTGATGTAACCATTTTATGCCTCAGTTTCTTTAGCAGAGTTGAGAGAACTAAATGAGATGATTCATGAGAAACAATTAGCAGGTTTCTATAACAAAAGTAGTTAGTAAATGTCTCACTCTGCTGTTACTGCTACTGCTAGTGCTTTCTTATTACCATTTGCTGTAGGTAATCAGGGAGTATTAGCTGATCCATATATATAGTATGTGTGTGTAAATACATATATATATTTGATAACTCTTCCAGTCCTGAGAATTGAAATTTTTAGTTATAAATTGTAGTGAATAAGTAAGGCAGCTTTGGAAAGACAGAACTTCCCTTTAGGGAAGAGAATTTATTTTGCTGCTTTTCTTGTTAATAATTTTTTTTTTTTTTTTAATGTGGAATGCTTCACGAATTTGCGTGTCATCCTTGCACAGGGGCCATGCGAATCTTCTCTGTATCGTTCCAATTTTAGTATATGTGCTACCGAAGCGAGCACTTCTTGTTAATAATTTAAAAGTTCTGTTAGAACGCTGTCAAGTAGTGGTTACTTCATGCTGTCATAATAGACAGAGCAACTGGCAAAGTTGTTTCTGAATAAAGAAAACCAAGGCCTCTTTACCATTTAGGTTTACTGAGCGCTATTTATTTTGCCTACTGTGACATTACATAAATAGACACCTCCTGTGAAGGTACAACCTGGCAAAATTCTTTTATATACTATTTGAACACCTTACTTGTGCTAATGTCTATGCTCACCTATAGGCTGTACTGGAAATTATAGGCCTTGATAATATTTCTAAGAACATAATACTAGTTTGATTCAAGGTATAAAAAGCCAAGAAAATTCGACAAGCCTTTTAGTATGTGAGCTTCAAATGGAAAACAGGAAAAAAGAATAATGTATGTAAAGAATAAAAAAGGTTTTGAAGTTTACTATCATATGAGGTCATTTAGACTTTTTCCTTCTATTCTTGTTAGGAGCCACAAGTTCTATGTAGAAAATGATGTGGCTTAATGTAACAAAACCATCAGTATGTTCTTGTCATTAAATTTTTATTGAGTAGTCTTATAAACTTGACTGTGGGAAATTTTTAGGCATGCTTTCCTTAATTTTTTATTTGTATTTTTACTCTTTGTGGGTACATAGTAGATAATATATATTCGTGAGGCACTTGATGTTTTGATACAGTCATGCAGCATGAAATAAACACATCATGGAGAATGGGGTATTCTTGTCTCAAACATTTATCTTTTGAGTTACAAACAATCCAGTTACACTCTTGAAGTTATTTTTAAATGTACAATTTAGTTATTATCAATTGTAGTCACCCTGTTATGCTATCAGACAGTAGGTCTTATTCTTTCCATTTTTTGTACTCATTACTCATCTCCCACCTCCCCCCACCATTTCACCCTTTCCCTGCACTAGCCTTTCCAACCTTACCATTCTTCCACTGTCTGTCTCCATGAGTTCAATTGTTTTGATTTTCAGATCCCACAAGTAAGTGAGAACATGTGATGTTTGTCTCACTGTGTCTGGCTTCTTTGACCTAACATAATGATCTCTAGTTCCACCCCATGTGTTGCAAATGACTGGCTGTCATTGTTTTTTATGGATGAATATTACTCCATTGTGTATATGTACCACATTTTCTTTATCCGATCCATCTACTAATGGAAACTTTGGTTGATGCCAAATCTTAGCTATTGTAAACAGTGCTGCAACAAATACAGAAGTTCAGATATCTCTTCAGTATACTGATTTCCTTTCTTTTGGATGTATACCTAGCAGTGGGATTGCTGGATTATATGGCAACTTAATTTTTAGGAGCCTTCACACTTTTCTTTATTATGGTTGTACTAATTTATATTTTCTGCAACAGTGTGCAAGGGTTCCCTTTTCTCCACATCCTTGCCAACATTGGTTATTGCCTGTCTTTGGGATATAAGCCATTTTAACTGGGCTTATATCCCATTTAACTGGGCTTATATAAGCCATTTTAACTGGGCTTATATCCTCAAGACAGGCAATAACCAGTGTTGGCAAGGATGTGGAGAAAAGGGAACTCTGAGATATTATTTCATTGTAGTTTTGATTTGCGTTTCTCTGATGATCAAAGATTTTGAGCCCCGTTTTATGTGCCTGTTTGCCATATGAGAAATGTCTATTCAACTCTTTCGTCTATTTTTAATCAGATTGTTAAGATTTTTTTCCTATAGAGTTGCTTGAGCTACTTATGTGTTCTGGTTATTTATCCCTTGTTAGTTGGGTAATTTGCACATATTTTCTCCCATTCTATGGATTATCTCTTCAGTTGGATGATTGTATCCTTTGTCCATGTTGTTGTGATCCTGCTTTTTAAAAAATCTGATATGTTGTCTTTTGTCTGTTTTTGCTTTGGTTGCTTGTGCTTGCGGAGTTTTGCTCAAGAAATGTTGTCCAGAGCACTGTCCTGGAGATTTTCCCCATTTTTCCTGTAGTATTTTCATAGCTTGAGGTCTTAGATTTTAAAGTCTTTAATCCATTTTGATTTGATTTTTGTATATAGTGAGAGTTGGAGTGTAGTTTCCTTCTTCTGAATATAGATATCCAGTTTTCCCAGCACCATGTATTGAAGAGACTGTCTTTTCCCCAATATATGTTCTTGGGACCTTTTTCAGATTAAATTCATTTAGGTGTGTGGATTTGTTTCTGAATTCTCTATTCTGTTCATTATTCTATGTATCTGTTTTATGACAGTATCATGCTGTTTTGGTTACTATAGGTATGTGTTATAATTTGAAGTCAGGTAGCATGATTCTTTTTGCTTAGGATAGCTTTGACTCTTCTGGGTCTTTTGTGGTTCCATATACGTTTTAAAATGTTTTTTTCTATTTCTGTGAAGAATGTCATTGGTATTTTGATAGGGATTGCATTGAATCTGTAGATTGCTTTTTGTAGTATGGACATTTTAACAATATTGATTCTTCCAGTTCATGAATATGCAATGTTTTTCTGTTTTTTGGTGCCTTCTTCAATTTCTTCCCTCAGTGTTTTATAATTGTTGTTACTATAGAGATCTTTTACTTCTTAAAGTTAATTCATACGTATTTAATCTCATGTGTGGCTATCGTAAATGGGACTACTTTTAAAATTTCTTCTTCACATTATTCACTGGTATCATATAGACATGCTCCTGATTTTTGTATGTTGCTTTTGTCTTCTGTAATTTTACTGAATTTATTGGTTCTAATAGTTTTCTTGTGGAGTCTTTAGTTTTTTTCAAATATAACATTATATTGTCTGCAAACAAGAATAATTTGGCTTCTTCCTTTCCAATCTGGATACCCTCTATATCTTTCTGTTGTCTGATTGCTGGAAGACAGGGCTTCCAGTACTGTGTTGAGAAACAGTGATGAGGATGGGCATCCTTCTTGTGTTTGAGATCTTAGAGGAAAAACTTTCAGTTTTTCCCATTCAGTATGATACAGCTCTGGGTCTGTCATATATGGCTTTTATTATGTTGAGGTATGTATTTCTATCCCCTGTCTTGGGGGCGTTTATGATGAAGGGATGTTGATCATTCTTTATGCCTCAGTCGTTCTTTTTTTTTTTTTCCTTGAGACAGAGTCTGGCTCTATTGCCCAGGCTTAAGTGCAGTGGCACGATATTGGCTTACTGCAACCTCTGCCTCCTGGGCTCAAGTGATCCTCCCACTGAAGCCTCCTGAGTAGCTCGGATGTACCACCACAGCCAGCTAATGTTTGCATTTTTCTGTAGAGACAAGGTTTTAGCCTGTTGGCTGGTCTTGAACTCCTGGGCTCAAGCAGTCCTTCCATCTCACCCTCCCAAAGTGTTAGGTCTACAGGCCTGAGCCACTGTACCTGGCCAGTTTTTTCTTTTTATTTTTCTTGAGACAGGTCTGGCCTTGTTACCCAGACTGGAGTGCAGTGGCATGATGTTGGCTCATTGTAAACCTCCACTCCTAAGCTCAAGCAATCCTACCTCAGCCTCCCAAGTAGCTGGGACTACAAGGGCCTGCCATGACACCTGGCTAATTTTTGTATTTTTTGTAGAGATGTGGGTTTCGCCATGTTGCCCAGGCTGGTCGGTCTTGAACTCCTGAGCTTAAATGATCCTCCTGCCTCAGCCTCCCAAAGTTCTAGGAGGACAGGCATGAGGAACTGTGCCTGACCAGTTCTTTCTTTTTTTCCTTTAAATTTCTTGACTTAGTAAGTCTTAGTTCTGTCCCTTGCTAGCGTTGTTACCTTTGGAATCAGTTAATCTTTCTGAAACTAATTCTTCATATGCAAATGAAAAATCTCCCATTCAACAAAAGATTTTAGGCTTTTTTTTTCCCTTGTAGTTAACATTTCTTAAGTGAAGACATTGAGCCACACTCTGATGTAAGCACTTCACATATATCTTTATAACTACCTTTATGGTGCTCTACCCCTAGTATCCACTTAAAATTGATTACTGAGTGAAGGAATGAAAATAACATACTTGACATGAGTTTATTTTACATGCTGTAAAGGCATTACTGATACAGAGCAGCACTTCAGACTCCAATTTTATTGATTAATGTAGTTTTCCATCTTAAATGAGTCTTTTGAGAAATATCATTCTGCTTAGTCTGCTTTATTAAAATATATGAATTTAAAATAATCTGTTAATAGTTTGTGCTAGGATGACAGTTCTGACTCTGTGTTTTGGTGGCTTTATGTGGTGCTTGTTTCCTGTTCCTTTCCCCAATCAATATATGTCATAATAGCTCCAAACAAAATCAATGGTAAAGTAACAAGGAAGATTATTATATTTTTTTTAATTTTTAGATTTATCTTAATTACAAAGTTATAAATTATGTGCATCTTAAAAAATGAACAAAAAACTAGTTACAGCTGGCATTAAAAGGTACCATAATGGTCTCAGCCATGATTTTCATTGACTTAGATAGGTATTGTAATAAGGATTCAAATTGGTATCCTCACATGAGTGGTTGGGAGAAATGATATACTTGTGTGCCAGTCAAACTGAAATGGCAGTTTAAATCTATAGTACTTGTGTACTATATTTTAAGAAGGTCAGTATGAAGCAAGCAGCCAGCTGTTAGGTTTATCAAAGATAAACTGCTACAGAGTAGAGCGACATTTAATACATCAGTGGAGCATGAAAAAACTGAACAAATTAAATTGAGAAAGCAGCTGCTTGTCAAAGATGTGTATCGTTATATTGAACTCCACAGGATGCATTTGGGAGGTTGGATTAAAACGTTCTATCAAGAAAATCTCAAAACCTTGGCTTTTTTCCCCAATAAAAACAATTTTTAAAAAGATTTGGAACTATTTTTCCCAGTGCCTCAATAGAATGATTTTTAGTCTTAGTCCTTTAAAAGTCACAATGCACCACAAAACCAGAACCATACAGCGTGGCATAGCCTCTTATGTGCTAAAGCAGAATTTGTTGTTAATATAGTCACAGGGTTAATTGAGATTTGCTGTCTCATTTTTACTCTTTCTTAAAAAAGTGATAAGATGTACTGTTTAAATTTTGAAGTTAGTAATCCCACATTTTGTTTTGTTGTAAGCAAGCTGAAAGGGTGCCTAATATATTAAAAATGGCTCAGAGTAGTTTTTAAAAAATGAAATTAGAAAGAACTCCAATTTTTTTTTCAGTGTACTGAAACTGTGAACATTCTTTAGTTAGTCTTGTAGCATTATTCAGACTTTAACAAATATTTATATTTGGGGCATATAAATTTTAGTATGTAGGATGTATGGTAAACAAATAAGATGGATGAAAATGTGACTTACTTATTCTCTATGTTTTCCCAGAAGTTTTAACCTGGAAAATAAGTTAAAACTGTATGCAAAAATTGTTGTAAAATATGTCCTTAAAGCTTATCCCAGCAGCTTTTGGAAAAGAGTAACAAGAAAGAGAAATTTTACTTAATTACAGCAGAATGACTTCATAGTTATTAAATTAGGATCCTTAATTCTCAAAGGGCTTAAAATAATGAATGTGACTACCTTTCCTTGCATATGAAAATGATGTTTTGTTTCATTTGAATAGTAGTTTTATATAAATATTTAAGAATAGTAGATAAGTGCAAAGTGCAGTGAGTGAATTTTAAATAAAAGACAATTATAGTTGTTAGCTCTCAGTTTTGGCTAGGCTGCTGGAAAAGTAATTTCAGTCCCCTTTTTTGTAAATAAGTGTTATTCTGTAGGTATTTCATATTTTTTAATGATGTGCCTGAGATTAGGAGATTTTAACATTTGATCACAGAATTCTCTCAGTAGTATTTTGAGATGGCATGTGTTTTATATATTTGTTTTTTGTGTGGGAATTTTATGAAAATATTTGACAGTAAAATCGTATCTTCTCTCCTTAGATGGGTTCATATTGTTTGTGCCCTGTATGTTCCTGGAGTAGCTTTTGGAGATATTGACAAATTACGACCAGTAACACTAACGGAAATGAACTATTCCAAATACGGTGCCAAGGTAAGACACAGCATTTTTGATTGCTTAAAAGATAAAGTGTATACTTTTTAGTTTACATGGCTTTTTATTTGTATTATTGTTGACTGCAGAAATGCTTACTAGGAATTATTCCATTTAGCACTAAATCATTTATTATTGATAGTTTTCCTAGAAAGCGAATAATGTATAAATTCTTCTATACACTCTTAATTTAGAATCATGCATGAGGCAAAATGATTAGTACTACTACCATTTCCCTGGCACTGTTCGCTATGCCTAACATGTAGACCAAAACCGTATTTACAATTAGTTGGATCAAATATAAGCCTAATTTCTGACTTTACTTTTGAAGTGGAATTTGTCAAAATTATGAAAAAGAATATTAGAAGTGATCCTTGATGCTGTTATTTTAATTGTTTTGTTGTGCTGTTAACACGCTCTTTTAAGATGGTGAACTTACTTAATAAATGTTATGTGTGTTCTGACTGCTTCACCAACTTAGTGTTCTCCTATCTTTCCCCCTGACTTGGAGGCCTCTCTGTTCACTGAGATACAGTGATATTGAAATTTGGCTAATTAGGGATGGATGCAGTGGCTCACATCTGTTATCCCAGCAATTTTGGAGGCTGAGGTGGGTAGATCACCTGAGGTCAGGAGTTTGAGACCAGCGTAGCCAATGTGATGAAACCCTGTCTCTACTAAAAGTACAAAAAAATAACCTTGCTTGGTGGTGCCTGCCTGAAATCCCAGCTACTCATGAGGCTGAGGCAGGAGAATCACTTGAACCTGGAAGGTGGAGGTTTTGGTGAGCTGTGATCACGCCACAGCACTCTGGCCTGGGCAACAAAGTGAGTCTCCGTCTCAAAAAAAAAAAAAAAAAGAAAAAGAAATTTGGCCAATTAATAATTTTACAGTGGCTTCTAAGTAAGTGGTCAAGTGAAAGAAATAGTCATACATTTCTCACTTTAAATTAAAAGCTAGAAATGATTAAGCTTAGTGACGAAGGCATATCGAAAGCCTAGCTAGGCCAAAAGCTGGGCCTCTTCTGCCAAATACCCAATATGTCAATGCAAAGGAAAAGTTCTTGAAGGAAATTAAAAGTGCTGCTCCAGCGAACACATGAATGATAAAAAGTAAAACAGCCTTGTTGCTGATACGGAGAAAATTTTAGTAGTTTGGATAGATCATAGCAGCCACAACATTCCCTTAAGCCAAAACCTCATCCAGAGCATGGCCCTAACTTGAATATTGTGAAGGGTGAGAGAGGTGAGGAAGCTTCACAAGAAGAGTTGGAAGCTAGAAGAGATTGGTTCATGAAGTTTAAGGAAAGAAGCCATCTCCATAATATAAAAGATGAAGATGATGTAGCAGGTAGTGATGGAGAAGCTGCAGCAAGTTATCCAGAAGATTTAGCTAAGACAAATGATGAAGATTGCTACATTCAACAAAGATTTTTTTTTTCTTTTTAAACAGTACAATGATACAGAGAATTTATTTAATTCATACAAGTAATTTACCAGATCTATACGGTGAATAGACTGACCTAAGAAAAAAAATATTTACATTGATAGCAAAATATCTTCTAGCCCCCATAAATCATCTGCAATCATTCGCTAGGAAAAAATTTCGTAACCACATGGGTCATACAGACATTTTTATTTTTTTTTAAATTTTATTGAGAACAAAGATTTTCAATGTAGGTGAAACAGCCTTCTTTTGGAAGAAGATGCCATCAAGGACTTCCATAGCTAGAGAGGATAAGTCACTTTCTGGCTTCAAAGGGCAGGCTGTCTCTCTTCTTTAGGGGCCAGTGCAACTGGTGACTTTAAGTTGAAGGCAGTGCTCCTTTACTATTGTGAAAATCTTAGAGCCCTTAATTGTGTTAAATCTGCTCTGCCTGTGCTCTGTAAATGGAATAACAAAGCATGGATGATAGCGCATCTGTGTACAGAATGGTTTACTGAATATTTTAAGCCCCTTTTTGAGACCTACTGCTCAGAAAAAAAGATTCCTTTCAAAAGAGTACTGCTTATTGACAGTGCACCTGGTCACCCAAGAGCTCTGATGAAGTACAGGGAGATTAATGTGTTTTCATGCCTGCTATTGTGACAGCCATTCTGAAGTCCATAGATCAAGAAGTCATTTAGACTTTAAAGTCTTACTGTCCCGACCTGCAGGACAACAACAGGAGCTCAAAGGGAGGGAGTGGGGATGGATGGGAACAGGAGACGCAAAGAATGGAGACAAGACAGGAGTCTGATCAAGTCTCGTTTATTGTTGCTAAGCTCACAGCTTAAATAAGTGCGGGCAGAGAGGCGGGGCAAAGGAAGCTTGCGGTTGGGAAATTCCGGCCTACTGGGAAATTCCAGCCTACCTAAGTTTCAAAACTGAAACTTATCAACAGGAAACAGAAACTGAAACATTACTGAAACTTATCAGTGGGGGAAACAGAAACTGAAACTTGTCAACAGGAAATGTTAAACTGAAACTTATGCAAACCACAACATGGCTGAGCAGATCACAAAATGGCGGCTATTGCTGCCCACATCTTACTATTTAAGAAATTCATTTCATAAGGCTTTAGCTGCCGTACATAGTGATTCCTCTGATTGATGTGGGTAAACTAAACTGAAAACCTTCTAGAAAGGACTCACTTTTCTAGATGTCATTAAGAGTATTTGTGATTCTTGAGAGGAAGTCAACATATCCATATTAGCAGGAGTTTGGAAAAAGTTGATTGCAGCCCTCATGGATACCTTTGAGGGATTGAAGACTTCAGTGGAGGAGGTTACTGCTGATGTGGTAGAAATAGCAAGAGAACTGGAATTAGAAGTGTAGCCAGAGATGAGTGGATTACTGCAATCTTATGATAAAATTTGAACAGATGAGGAGTTACTTCTCATGGATGAACGAAGAAAAAAGTGGTTTCTTGAGTCTATTCCTGGTAAAGATGCTATGAACGTTGTTGAAATTTTAGCAAAAAACTTGGGATATTACATAAACTGTATTGATTAAGCAGCAGGAAGGTTTGAGAGGATTGACTCCAATTTTGAAGAATGTCCTACCCTTGGTAAAATGCTTTCAAACAGCATCACATGCAACAAAGAAATCTTTCATAAAAGGAAGAATATTTGCAGCAAACTTTATTGTTGTTTTATTTTAAGAAATTGTCATGTGAGGGGCAGTGACTCACGCCTGTAATCCGAACACTTTAGGAGGCTGAGGTGGGCAGATCACCTGAGGTCAGGAGTTTGAGATCAGACTGGCCAACATGGCAAAACCACATCTCTACTAAAAATAGAAAAATTCGCTGGGTATGGTAGCACACACCTGTAATCCTAGCTACTTGGGAGGCCGAGGCAGGAAAATTGATTGAACCTGGGAGGCAGAAGTTGCAGTGAGCCGAGATTGCGCCACCGCGCTCCAGCCTGGGTGAGAGAGTGAGACTCTATGTAAAAAGACAAAACAAAAGAAAAACAAAAAAAGAAAAGAAATTGCCACAGCCACCCTGACTTTCAGCAACCACCCCCCCATTAGTCAGTGGCCATCCACATCAAAGCAACATCTTTCACCAGCAAAAAGATTATGTCTTGCTGAAGGCTCAGGTGATCATTAGCATTTTTTGGCAAAAGAGTATTTTTAAATTAATGTACATACATTTTTAAAATACCTAATGTTATACATTTATTAGACCACAGATAGTGTAAGCCTAAGTTGAAAATGCATGGAGAAACTAAAACATTCTTATGACTTGTTTTACTGTGATACTCATTTTATTACCGTGGTCTGGAGCTGAACGTGTATTCTCTCTCATGTATCCCTGTAAATTTAACAGAGGTTATTTGAGCATTAAACCAATAGTATTTATCGGGCAGCACTTACAACCAGAAAAGGTTCAGAAATGTTCACTTGGCTGGGTACCGTGGCTCACGCCTGTAATCCCAACACTTTGTAAGGTCAAGGTGGGTAGATTACGAAGTCAAGAGATCAAGACCATCCTGGCCGACATGGTGAAATCCTGTCTCTACTAAAAATAAAAAAATTGGCTGGGCATGGTGATGGGCACCTATAGTCTCAGCTACTCTGGAGGCTGCATCAGGAGAATTGCTTGAACCCAGGAGGCAGAGGTTCCAGTGAGCTGAGATTATGTCAGTGCACTCCAGCCTGGTGACAGAGTGAGACCCTGTCTCAAAAAAAAAAAAAAAAAAAAAGAGATGTCCACTTTAATGTGGTAAGCAGTGGGCTTTTATTGGCTGAATGTGGAACCAAAGTAAAGAAATTACTTAAATGGCTACAGCTGTGTATATATATTTTTTCTATACAGGTATGATTTAGTAGAAAGTTTCCAGTTACATTGTCTAATGTCTAGTTGGCTGTTGTGGTTGGTTGAAGCTTGTTTTTTGATATTTTTGTTTTGTTTTGTTTTTTAAAATTTGGTTTATTACAAGGAATTTTTCTAAATTAATTTTCACTTGTGTAAGGTTCCGTGTACAGAAAGAGGTCCAGGCTAATTTCCTCTTGTTTATTTTGCTTTACAAAAATATCACTGGGAAATGGAGTTGAAAATTAGGTACTCTCTGGCTCTTCTGCAAAATCAGATACAATGTTGTGAATTATGACTGGGATAGCCTTCTAGACCACATTGTCTACTCATTTTACAATCTGAATTATGTTCTCCCTCTGTGTTCTCAGTTGCTTAGTTCAGCAGCATTTAAAATGATTCAGGCAGTTGAGGAAGATTCTTTTGTATTTGATAGATTGTTTTATAGTCTAATGTGACTGTCAGGGAATTTTTCCTTGTATTCACTCTGAAATCCTTCGTGCAGTTTTAACATATTACGTGAAATTACCCGCTCAGAGAATTATCCTAAACAATATGTCTCTGTTCACAGTGTTGACATCCTTTAAATAATTTAATTTCTGTTTCTCTCTCTCTCAATCTCATATTTAGATTGCTGTTTGCCAGTATATTATATCTTCTGTATTCTACTGTTACTGAAGAAATTCTTTTAACTAGGCAGTAGAATGTCGGGATTTGACTACTGAAATTTTTAAATTTTCCTTTTATTTGTTTCCTTTTATGTAGTTCACTTTGAATACTTAAACAATTTTTTAATTGTCCACTGTCAGTCTTTCATAATTTAATGTTTTTCTTTTATGAAGATTTCTGTTACCAGAGTTGTTTAAATTTTTAGACTAGCTTTTCCGCCCTTTTAAGAGATCGTTAAAAGAATAAAAAAATAAATCTGAGAGGATTTGGAGTAATTTCAACAGTTCATACCTTGGTTTTACAAATTTTCCCTTTTTATACAGAAAAGAATGTAAATAACTGTCTGTATTGTATATAACTACTAGTTGCACTGAATTGTTTACCTAAAATTACTTTTAGTTGTCTTAAAGATATTTAAAACATGCATGATTTCTAGGTTGCAATGCCTAGATTATTTATGGGCTTTTCTCTGGTCTTTTGTTTCATTTACCAAGCAATTTTATAATCGTTTAAGAATTAGTGTAGTTTAATGGTGGGTTTAAAGTAAGACCGTCCTGGTTTGAAGCCTTTCATTTACTTTCTTTGTTATTTTTGGCAAGCAGATTTCTTGTCTTTACCTGTTTTCTCATGTGTAAAATGAGAATAGTTATAGTACCTCTTCTTCGTGGTAGTTGTATTTAATGATTATATATATTTATGCACATAGTCCTTGACTTGTAATGGGTTTACATCCTGATAAATCCATTGTAAGGTCAAAACATTTTAAGTTGAACTTAATTTAATACACCTAACCTACTGATCATAGCTTAGTGCAGCTTACCTTAAATGTGGTTGGAACATTTAACATTAGTCTGCACTTGAACATAGTCATCTAACACAAAACTTTATTTTATAATAAAATGGTAACTATCTCATGTAATTTGTTGAATACTGTACTGAAAATGGAAAACAGAATGGTTGTATGGGTACTGAAAGTGTGGTTTCTGCTGAGTGCGTTATCGCTTTTGCAACATTGTAGGGTCAAAAAATTAGAAGTGGAGCCATTGTAAACTGGGGACTGTCTGTATGTGTATGGAGCTTAGAATAGTGACTGGCACATAGTAAGTCCTAAAATAATTTTAATTATGGTTTTATTATTTGTTGTTATTGAATTAGTTGAATTTTGATTTATTAGAACCATATAGGTCAAATTACCTTTTTTTCATATAAACTCTTGGCTTGCCTACAATTATTGTTTTTATTGGTACATAATTGGGTCACTATTTCTATTTAGCATTTTAATATTTAGTGAATTCTTTGTATGAGAATGCATTCTTTAGTCTGGAAATGTTGAATTTTTCTGTTATTTTGTTGCAGGAGTGTAGCTTTTGTGAAGACCCTCGCTTTGCTAGAACTGGAGTTTGCATTAGCTGTGATGCAGGGATGTGCAGAGCCTATTTCCATGTGACCTGTGCTCAGAAGGAAGGCTTGCTTTCAGAGGCAGCAGCAGAAGAGGTAGGTTTATTTAAATGCTTAATTGTTGAACATGTTCACAAGACATCTTTTGATTCTATTATCCTGTAACAGGTATAAATAATAAAAGAAATTTTAACATTTATTCTTAAAGTTGTTGCAAGATCACCGTTGTAAAACTTTAAGAGTAAATATCTTTGAGTTTTGTTAGTCTTTTTTTGTTGTTGGTTTTTTTTTTTTTTTTTTTTTGAGGCAGAGTTTCACTTTTGTTACCCAGGCTGGAGTGCAATGGCGCGATCTTGGCTCACCGCAACCTCCGCCTCCTGGGTTCAGGCAACTCTCCTGCCTCAGCCTCCTGAGTAGCTGGGATTACAGGCACGCGCCACCATGCCCAGCTAATTTTTTTGTATTTTTAGTAGAGACGGGGTTTCACCATGTTGACCAGGATGGTCTCGATCTCTTGACCTTGTGATCCACCCGCCTCGGCCTCCCAAAGTGCTGGGATTACAGGCTTGAGCCACCGCGCCCGGCCTGAGTTTTGTTAGTCTTAAAGCTAGTCAGACATTTGGAAAACATTAAAATTTTTATAGTGAGATCTGACAGATAAAAGAAAATCCAAGTTGTCTTAAATCATTAAAATATCAGCATTTCAGCCTCATCCATTATAGTTTAAAAAATAGCATATTTTATATGAGAATCTGAAACTGTATTTGAGTAACCTTGCTTTATATTTCTTTTTTTTTTTTCTTTTTTTTTTTTTTGAGACGGAGTTTCGCTCTTGTTACCCAGGCTGGAGTGCAATGGCGCGATCTCGGCTCACCGCAACCTCCACCTCCTGGGCTCAGACAATTCTCCTGCCTCAGCCTCCTGAGTAGCTGGGATTACAGGCATGCGCCACCACGCCCAGCTAGTTTTTTCGTATTTTTAGTAGAGACGGGGTTTCACCATGTTGACCAGGATGGTCTCGATCTCTCGACCTCGTGATCCACCCGCCTCGGCCTCACAAAGTGCTGGGATTACAGGCTTGAGCCACCGCGCCCGGCTATATTTCTTTAAGTAAAATCATTACTGTGTCTTCAGTATCTCTGTTGCTATCTCTTTACTGTTATTTTTAATTCCATAATATTCCTTTCAGATCTATTGACTTTACATTAAACAGTCAGTTGTATTCAGTGTTTGGGGAACTTGTTAAGATTCGTACAAGTAGTCTGAGTTTAAAACTATTTTCATTACACTATAAAATTGTTACTTACTTTTCTGAACTCTATTCTTTCACAAGTATTAGAGGAGACTTCCAGAGATTACATACAGTAGAACCCATTGAATATAGAAACAATTTTGAGAATCTGGCTACCTTTTTTTTATGTCAGTTATCTAGGCATTAAAGATATTTGCAAAAATGTAAAACAGTGTGCCACTCTTGTCACTTAAATTTGTGTGTGTGTGTGTGTGTGTGTGTGTGTGTGAATTGTATTTATTTTAGTAGAAGAGTATGCTTCTGTAGTGGACCCATTATTTAAATTAAATTCATGAATATTGCCAAAAAATTCCAATTTTAATTTCTAATGTGTAACTTTCTAAAATATAACTCACATTTGGTAACTGTCTAAAATGTAACTCACATAAACTCTAGAGTCCTGAGTAATTTTTAAGAATGTTAAGGAATTGTGAGCCGGTTCAGTTGATTCTTTAAGCTCATACAGTAATGAGTGTTTATTTAGTAATTTTTATTGTATATTCATGCTGGCTTTATGGTAGTAATCTAAGCCTCTCCTTTTTTTTTTTTTCTTTCTTTCTTTCTTTTTATTGGGTAAATTTTGTTTGTTGTCCTGGGATTTTAATCTTAGTCCATTTATTTCATTTCCAGAAAACAAGCAAAGATACTCTGATGAAGAAAATTTGTAGAAAAAATTTGAAGGATGTATTTTATGAATAAACAGATCTTACAGGAGTTGTATTTTTGATACATGCAGCTGTTTTTGACAGATATAGCTGTTCTAGTCTTTTCATTTATATAGCTGTTTCAGTCTCTTGATTTTGAGGAGTTGTATTTTGATGAAGGCTACTAGATGAACACTGAGCGTCTTCTCAGCTACTAGGTAGACATAGAGTTAAAATTATACAGTAGGGTAGTATGGATTCCTCATAACTACATCTGAGAATGGTGGACAGAAGTACAAGAGGGCAATACAGGTAAGACTTAGAGGACCAGATACATACTAGGTAACTACTTGGATTAGGGAATCTATAGGGAAGGGTTAGTTGTCTACTTCTGGAAAATTTTGAGCTTTGTGGTCAGTAGAGTTCCTTTGCAGCTAGTAGATAGCTTTCTTTTTTACTATGGTAGTTTGGATTCCTTTGCACAGCATCATACACCATCATTTTTGGAAAGATAGCAGTTAGTTAATTAACAAAAATGTGTGAAACAGCCACATATGGGACAGTGAGGTATAATGGAGTTTGTGGGATTTGGAGAGTGCATCTCCATCTAAAGGCATGCAGATTAAGTGAAACTAAATATAATATTAATCTAAATAGTTTACAGTTTGTGGTCTGCATATCTTATCTGTGAGCTAATTTAGGGAAATGTATAGGGAAACGTACATTAGGATGTGAGAACTGGCCCTGAAGCATCTTCCTTGCCTTGCTGTGTCTCTTGATTAATTAGGTGAGAGCCCTGGATGCTGGAATAATAAAGTGGAACTTTTCTCCCTATTCACTACTTTACTCAGTGTGCTGTTGTTCTGGGAGGCAATGACCTAAAGCATATTTACATATATATGTTCCTGGTTTCTTGTTATAAGCAGAGAATTAGAAAATTCTAAATGTTTTCTGAACAGTGTTTCAAAACCCAGGATATTACATGAATCAATATTAATGAAGTTTGCATTTGACAGTACTCATTCTGTTAAAATGAAGGTCTTCTCTATTTCTAGATGGTTGTACTTGTGTATATGAGGATTTATGTAATGTAATAACTTTTAAAATTAAGAAACACATTTTAAACTAAAATAGATCTATGTTTGTGAGCGTATTTTGCCTTCTGTTTCCATTTTATTCTCTTTAGGCATGCTAGGAAACTTTTTTAAGGACTATATCAAGTTGAATTTACTACTTTTTCATGGTTGTTTTATGTAGGCTGTAACAAAAGGTTGAAAAATAGAATAAACATCTCAGTTTCATCTAATGATATTGTATAACTTTCTGTATTTTTTATGACTTTTTATAGCTTTCTGACATAGTGCTTTATCTCATTGGTGAGAATCCATGTGAAGTTTCTATACTTTTTCATCTCCTTTGTGGATATTCCAGATTTATTTAGAATAGTCAAAGCATGTTATGACACAACATGCTTTATTAGAAGGATACTTAAAACCATGTTATGATACAACATCTTGTTTTTAAAACTGAGCTGTAGGGCTGGGTGCAGTGGCTTATGCCTGTAATCCCAACACTTTGGGAGACCAAGGCCAGAGGATTGCTTGAGGCCAGGAGTTTGAGACCAGCTTGGGCAACATAGCAAGACCCTGTCTCTTTAAAAACAAAAAAAATTAGATGGGTTTGATGGTGCTTGTAGTCTCAGCTACTGGAGAGGCTGAGGCAGGAGGATCACATATACCCGGGAATTTGAGGCTGCATTGAGCTATGTTCTTACCACTGCACTCAGCCTGGGGAACAGAGAGAGACCCTACCTCTAAAAAGTTTAAATAAATAAATTTAAAAAAAAAAACTGAGCTATTGCACAGGCTCAGTTATACTGACTAAAACTTATGTTACTATGTTTTACATTATATAGTCTGAAGTTGCTTATAGTCCAAGTAAGTCATATGGTAGTTTCTTCTGTAATTAAGGTGTAATTTGGTACTATTGGACATTGCTATACTCTGTTACATAGAAAATTATATTTGAAACAAAATAAAACCAGGTTCAGTGGCACATACCTGTAATCTCAATACTTTGAGAGGCCAAGACAAGGAGGATCGCTTGAGGCCAGAATTTTGAGATGAGCCTAGGCAACACAGCAAGACCCCATCTCTACAAAGAATGTAAAAATTACCCACATGTGGTGGTGTGTGCCTATAGTCCTAACTGCTTAGGAGGTTGAGGCAGGAGGATGCTGACCCCAGAAGTTCAAGGTTTCATTCTGAACTTGAATGAAAATATCTGTGGGTGAATAAGAATATTGATAGTTCATAATTGAAAAGGTAAGTTTGATAGGCCATTAGGTTATTATTGTATTTAAATGTTTCTGGTTTCAGTAAACACATTGATTTTATTATTAAGATACCAATAAAGCATATGTATGTTCTTCAAATACACTGTTTTTACAAGTGCGAGGTGGTTCTCAATGTACAAAACTGAAGTGTCTTCTTTCAGTTTATATAACTTTGATCTGTTATGTCAGTTTTACCCAGGGAGTTTTCTTTAAAAAAAAAAAAAAAAAAGTATTTTAAGATTCTCGACCAAATCATGCCATCTAGAAGACCAGAAGCTAGACTTAATCCATAGATGCATTTTGTTGGTTAGAAATAGGGATAAAAATGACAGCCTTGAATTTGAATGCCTTTATGGGGCATTCCAGTTTGCCATAGGCTCTAAGTTCTCACAGGCCCCACCATTTACTAACTGTCCCTCATCATTCATTTTTGTCTTATATTTTTCTAGCATCTTTTAGGTCTCCTTCACCCATGTACATTGCCTGTTACTGCTTCCGAAGACATTTACATTTAAGGCCGTCGCCTTAATCAGAATTTGCTAAATCAGAATTTGCAGAGTTGGGCTTTAGTAACCTCTATTTAGAAACCTCCTTAAATGAATCTGATGACAGTCAGGTAGTGGTTACGGAAGATGGACCTTACGTACTGGATGTAGGTCTTGGTTCAGCAACGTAACCTCTCTGGTTTTCGGTTTTCTATCCATAAAATTGTCATTAAAATGGTAGAACCCACCTCCTGTGGTAGTGGTGAAGGTTAAAGAGCTAGTATATAAAAAAGCACATGTGCTTATTTCATGGTAAATATTCAGAAACCTGTTTTTCTCTTTCAGTTTTCCATTGGGAGTAGGATTTTGAAAGCTCCCTTTCTCTAAGCAGGTTGAAGGTATATTCCACATCAACCTATGTATTAATTAGGTTACTATTTTGACTGGTTTAAAAAAACCAAATAACGAGGTGCTTCCCTTAAACGAGGAAGAAATTGAATTCACTCCAATATATGATTCCAGGCTGACTGGATACTGAGGAGAGTTTGCTTCCGGGATTAGTTCCCTTCTTCTTGCTTCATTTTTCTTTAGTCTGTTGCACTCTCCTACACAGTCAAAGATGGTTTATCACCATCTTGACTGGATTCTACCTCACTGGAAGCAGGAAAGAGGAGGTTAAGAGTAGACAGCTACTTTTCAAGTGCATGGTCTGGGAATTTCGTACAACTCATTGGCCAGAACTTAATCACATGGCCACATCTAGCCATGAGGAGGCTGGATCAGATAGTTTCTATGGAGTAGCCATGTGCTGGGCAAAAACTCACAGGGTTCTGGTACTAATGGGAAGAAAAGATACTATAAGACAGTTGATAGTTTCTGCCATAGTAAGTATTGTTGCTTTTCTTAAACCAGAGTCTTGGTCTAAATCCTTAACTCATCTATGTAAGCATGGACCTATCTCTAATAACTCAATTTCAACCTCATTTACTTTGAAACACTAGAATAATTATCTAGATCTGGGCATTTGGGCTGAGGTTCAGTATAATCTTTATTTTCATTAAACATCTCTGTCACCAAGTTTTAGAGCATGTCATGAGAAAGCAGATATTTGTATGTGTTAATGTAGTCTCCTAAATTTTTTGTATTTTATTTTTAAAGCTATATGAAGTAATTATAAGTAAACACTGTTTTACTGATGAAGTATCTAAGGCCCAGAGATGTTAAGCAATTTTTAGAAGTCCCATAGCCAGTAAATGGTAGAGCCAAGATTTGTATCCAGGTTTTTATGTCTCCAAATTCTGTGATACACAGTGCTCTACAGTGGCATCTATAGATACCACACTACAGAATTGCCTCATATCCTTTTTTTTTTTTTTTTAAATACTAAGGACACATTAGGTATCTTTTTCTTCCTATTCTTAGATGTCTCTCCTTCGTAGTGTGTCATTTCTCTTTGCGTTGTAAAACTCTGCTTTACTAAGAGACACTTTTGACATAACTTAGAAAAACTAATAGCCTATGTTTACTGTTTCTCCTTGGGACAGACATAAAGAATGAACAGCTTATTTTTTAGCAATTACACTGAAAATTACTTTTTTGGACTACAATACAAATTGTTTTTGATAGAATAAATCCTCTTTTTGTACGCTACTTTTTATGAATGAAAAATGTACTATTACGCTATGATAGAGCTGTGATTGCATTTGAGTTGTTAGGGAAAGAGCTAAAGGATATAACATAAATTTTTTAATTGACAGGGCTTGGACTTCTTAATTCTATTTTTTTTTTTTTTTTTTTTTTTTTTTTGACAGAGTCTCACTCTGTCACCAAGGCTGGAGTGCAGTGGTGCGACCTCAGCTTACTACAACATCTGCCTCCTGTGTTAAAGTGATTCTCTTGCCTCAGCCTCCCGTGTAGCTGGAATTACAGGCATATGCCACTGTGCCTGGCTAATTTTTGTACTTTTAGTAGAGCCTAGATTTTGTCATGTTGGCCAGGCTAGTTTTGAATTCCCAACCTCAAGTGATCTGCTTGCCTTGGTCTCCCAAAGTGCTGGGATTACAGGCATGAGCCACCACTCCTGGACCTTAATTCTGTTTTTATCCTCCGTAGAATCTGTCCATTGTTAGCCAGTTGGAAATGCCATACTTACCTTGTTGGCTATTCCAATATTGTTGTTTGCAATATTAGTCTATGTATGCATAACTTTAATATTTAATGATTATTTGTACCTAAGATTATTAAAATCCTATTTGTTTTAAACAGTGATCTTTTGAAAAATGTAGCCAGCCTTTCATGGTCCACGATTCCACATTCTTAGATTCAGCCAACTGCAGATTGAAAATATTTGGGGGGAAAAAAGCATAATAAAAATAAATTAAAAACTAATACAGTATAACAACTATTTGTACAACATTTACATTTGTATGTTAGGTATTATAAGTAATGTAGAGATTACTTAAAATATTTGGGAGAATGTATGTAGACTAGATGCAAGTGCCATACCATTTAACATAAGACACTTGAGCATACATAGATTTTGATATCCTTGAGGAGTCCTGGAACCAATCTGCTATGGATATTGAAGGGCTACTGTATAAGTACACCCAAATAATACAATATATTTGATTTCAGTCTCTTCAAACACACAAGCCCTTAAAAAAAAAAAAAAGCTGTTGGTAATTTGAAGTTGATATGCAAGATCAAGTTTCTAAAGCAGTAATTTTTATCATTATGTATAAATTATTTTTGTAATTTATTAGACATAACTAGCACTAGTAGATTCTTTGAAAAGGAAGTAATATTCTTTTGTATTAGGTTTTTTATGACTCTTTGGAGTACAAATGTTAACTATTTTTCCCTGCTTTTTTTGTATAGGACATAGCAGATCCGTTCTTTGCTTATTGTAAGCAACATGCAGATAGATTAGACAGAAAGTGGAAGAGAAAAAACTACTTGGCTCTACAATCCTATTGTAAAATGTCTTTGCAAGAGAGAGAAAAGCAACTTTCACCAGAAGCACAGGTATAGGATTCATGTCAAAACCCTTGTTTTTCTTTTAAGGTTATGTATGGATTTTACATCTCATGTGTGTTTTCCAGTGACATCTGAAGTATAATAAGAAGTTTGGTTAGTTGTCTAGGAGGTGGATTGTGATTAAGGTTAATAGTGAGTATAATTTTTGGCTGAATACAGTATTCCTTATTTAGTCAACAGAGCAGTCCTTTATAAAGTATAAACTCACATTGAAAAATGTGGCTGTGAGGAAATTATCCTATCAGTACAATATATTTGCTACATCTTGTTTCAGTCTATTCAAAGGATTTAGTCAGTTTGCCTATATTTAAAATATAATTTTATATACATTAAATGTATGGAAACAATAGCAGCTATTAAGAAGAGAAACTTCAGCTTAATGAAACTAGTTTCTCAAAATTCTGATTATAAGTTAGGACAATTGTTGCTAGGGGTAGATCTAGTTTATTGTAACTCAAGAATTACACAGTATACCTTAAGGATCATTCACACATGTAATTTGCCTTGATATAAGAAGTTTTGATTATCTTTCTATAAACATGGGAGTAAAAACCAATGTAAAAATCGTAAGGAATATGTTCCATTTTATTATCTTTTAAAATTTGGATACCTTTCTTTTATAGGCAAGGATCAATGCCCGACTTCAGCAGTATCGTGCCAAAGCGGAGCTAGCTCGATCCACCAGACCCCAGGCCTGGGTTCCAAGGGAAAAGTTGCCCAGACCACTCACCAGCAGTGCTTCAGCTATTCGTAAACTTATGCGGAAAGCAGAACTGATGGGGATCAGTACAGATATCTTTCCAGTGGACAATTCAGATACTAGTTCTAGTGTGGATGGAAGGAGAAAACATAAGCAACCAGCTCTCACTGCAGATTTTGTGAATTATTATTTTGGTCAGTATAGACACTGATACATGCACACTTTTACTGAGAATAATTTGTTAATGAAAAATATTTGGTAATACTGTCAATTTTTAGAAATGTATTAGCCATGTTACATATATCATAGAGGAGTGTTTATTTTCCTAATATGTTGTGAGTTTTTACAAAATGCTAGGTTCATTTTGTGAATATAATTAAAAGTTTTAAACTATGTAGGTTTATCAATGTGGTCATCTCTAGGGCTAGTTTCTTCCTATGTCAGCTCTTCTACTAAAGTAAATTTGGATGTTTCATTTAAATAGAGAGAAATATGCGCATGATTCAAATTCAGGAAAATATGGCTGAACAAAAAAATATAAAAGATAAATTAGAGAATGAGCAAGAAAAGCTTCATGTGGAATATAATAAGGTAAGTTGGCTACAAAATAGGCAACATAATTTAGATCTTACTGATGATTTTTTTGTGATTGTATGGCATTTTTTTATGTGGTATTTTAAAATTCTTCTGGAGCTCTTAGGCTCTTCCCTATAACTCCTACTCCTTATTAGCTTCATTATCATCACTGTCTCTTACTGAGTACTTTATGTGCCAGGCATAATTATGATCTCTTTACATGCATTACCTCATTTAATTCCCATCTTAACGTGTAGGTTATAGTCATTGCTTCCATTTTCAATGGAAACTGAATTCTGAAGAGGTTAAATAATTTGCCCAGGTTCACACAAGTAGTCAAGTCACAAAATGGGGGTGTGAGGTCACTCATCTGACTCTATTCTTTATTTCTAACCAATAAACATTACTATAGAGCTTCACTTTCTAAGTTTGTAGAAAGTTTAGAAACTTTTCTTTATTATTTATCTTGAATTACATTTTAATATTTGGATAAAAAAATTTCTGAATTTGAATTTTCATGTACCTCTTCATCCTAAAGATGACAAAGATCAAAAAGAAATATCTGTTACAAAAGCACAATGTGGTAAAAATGTCATGCCAAGTATAACTTGAGCACATAAAACAGGTACTGACTTATTGTTAGAAAACATTTTAAATAATAAAATATTATGAAGTAAGTTTCCAATAATAAGCTACACTGTGTAGTAAAAAGACTACTTGAAACTAGATTCAAAGGACCTGGGGATTCTTGCTAGCTCTGTGGTCCTGGCCAACTCATAAAAACTCTATGATCCTTAATTTTTTTCATTGGCAAAATAGTAGAAATACATCTTGATGGAGTCATAAGGATTAATTAGCAGAATGTCTGTGATATTATATTATATGGCAAACTATAACAGAAGGTATAAACGTAATCATTGTTAACAGCAGAAAACAAAATGCTTACAGCAGCAAATACCGCTGAGTAATTGGATAGCCTTGTCTCTCAGTGGTATTGTGGCTTGAATATATTAACTATATATGGAGGCTGGGCGCAGTGGCTCACACCTGTAATCCCAGTACTTTGGGAGGCCGAGGCGGATGGATCATGAGGTCAAGAGATGGAGACCACCCTGGCCAACATGGTGAAACCCCATCTCTACTAAAAATCCGAGAATTAGCTGGGCGTGGTGGCAAGCGCCTGTAGTCTCAGCTACTTGGGAGGCTGAGGCAGGAGAATAGCCTGAACCCAGGAGGCAGAGGTTGTAGTGTACCGAGATCATGCCACTACACTGTAGCCTGGAGACAGAGTGAGACTGTCTCAAACAAAACAGAACTCTGTGTGTGTGTGTGTGTGTGTGTGTGTGTGTGTGTGTGTGTGTAGAGAGAATAAAATGTAGATATTCTTGGATATTTATTGATAAATTACTTAAATTGTCAGATATTTTAATGAAGTTTACTAATTTGACTTACTTTGTAGTTATGCGAATCTTTAGAAGAACTTCAAAACCTGAATGGAAAACTTCGAAGTGAAGGACAAGGAATATGGGCCTTACTAGGCAGAATCACAGGGCAGGTTAGTTTCTTTCCAATTGCTATCTCCTTCAGTTCTTGCTCTCTATATGATTTTTGAAGAATAGATTTTTGATAAAACTGTCGCTTTACTAATTGAAGAATTCTGTTTGATCAGGGCCTAATCCTTTGGGATAATGATTTCTGCTTGAAACACATTGTGAGCATTGGAAGCTGCCTACTGAGAACCTCTAGTTTAATTTGGTTGTTTCAACAGCTATCTTGTGTGCAGATTTTTTTCATTTGCTCTAACTGATTGACTTGTCATTTGTGATGAAGCTAAGACTTGAAGCATGAGTTTTTCCTACTACATACTTCTTTTAATTTAGCCGTTTTAGATTCCTTGCCACATTTTTTTCCCCCTATTCTTAGGCTGGGTTTTTTTTTTTAATTTGCTATTCCTTGGATGTATAATTTGAAATTTAAAAGGCAAACTAGAGAAATTTGTTCTTAAGTTATTTTGTTCTCAGCTGTATAAGAGATGGTTTTTAAAGCTTTAATGTTAAAATGCATTTTTCCCCTTCAACAGTAGCTATGATCGTAGTTACTAAAAAAGAAAAAATCTTTATTCATGAAGACCGTTAGTCTATTAAAGTTTTTGGTGTTGAAAAGAATATTATTGTTAGATGGATTTCTTTGAATGCCTTTTTTAGTACTGTGTATATAATTGATAAATTAAGATTTTTTACAAAAAAATTTTATTACTGTTTTTTTAAGGATGATGGAGACCCACTGTTAGTGGTCCTTTCACACAAATAAGTAGTTTTATTTGCAAAGGCGCTTTTCAAAGAACAGATTTTTTTTTTATCACACTTGTTTTAGATGTTTATGGAGAGTCCAATTTATCACACAACTTGTATAGCTATTTTATGAAGTGATACATACTGATTTGTACTGTGCTATACTAGCTTTGAAGATGCTTTATGTGATCAGAATGGCTGTGGTTTATATCATAAAGAATATTTTAAGAGGCGAGAATTAGTAGTTGCCTCTGGAAGGATCAGACTTTGTTCCTGTTAATAGGTTGGTTGATGGATTTTTGGAAGATTATGGTGTTTTATACTTAATATTTAGAGAGTTAATGTTGACTATAAGGCTTTAGTTTATTTCCCAAGCTAGCATTATCTTTTGGCTTGATTTGCAAGTTTCTCTCAAGAATCTCCTGCTTAGTATAAAATATTATCTACTATAAAAGTCATTTTCATTTATTAAAAGACCTTTAACAGAGGTTTGCAAATTTCCTTTTGCAAATGTAAAATACACAGCAGAAGTAGAATTCATTTATATTGTTTGTATGATACTTTTTTTCAGTTGGTTGAACAGATGTGGGCCCACCAGGCCATTGAGAAGTGACTTTGATAGATGGTTGCTGTCTGAGAAGCCAGCATTCTACAGATTAGTAGAAACACAAAGAGAATCTCACTTGCTTTGTTGGAGAGTTTGGTCCAATAAGATAATTTTTCTAATTAACCTATGGAGCACCAATATAGCTGGGGTGCTGAAGAAAATAAATCGCCTCAATATTCTTTTTGTCAAATATACTGTGTTATTTTTTTTTTAACCTCCTACATATGTGTCTTTTCTTTCAAAGCTAAAGTAGTTTAATTTTCATAATATTTTAGCTTACCACGGAAAATTGATGAAAGTCTGTAATTATAGATTTGTGATGGAAATAGAACTATTAGAAAACTCAACTTTAATCCTTTTTGCCAATGTGGTAACTGGTAAAGCAGATTTTCCCCTAATAATCCTACTATATTTAGTTGGCTTGAGTGGCAATTAGAGGAAAATGTTGCTTTTATTTCTTCCTTAAAACCATATATACTACATTTGTTCAAATCAATAGAAGTTGAATATACCGGCAATTTTGCGAGCACCCAAGGAGAGAAAACCAAGTAAAAAAGAAGGAGGCACACAAAAGACATCTACTCTTCCTGCAGTACTTTATAGGCAAGTAACGAAATTAATAATGATAGAATAATACTGTGTATTTTTTTAATTGATACTTATTAGAAAGAAGATACTGCAAATATTTGAGAATGAATTATGTCCATACCTGAATTTAATTTAAGTGCATTTGAAGTTCATTTTAGCAAAGGTGCAGTCGAGTTTAGAATGATAGAGGAGATTTTTGTTGCTGTTATAATAAGATAAATGACTTTCTGTGTCTTTGAAGTTTAGGCAGTTATGTCTGCCTAAACTCTGTGGAAATGAGCAGTTCTCTTTGGGGAATTGGAAAATTACTGTAGATAATATTATGATTATTGTCTTAAATAATTAATATAACAGATGAGTATTTATACTTTATTTTACTTGAATGAATTGTAGAGTTTCTATTTTAGGTAGTGATGGTTATCATATACTTACATAGAATGAATCTCTTGCCTTTGTAGATAGTGGATAATAAAGATAGTTTTAGATTGGAGTTTCTACACTTCTTTCTCTTGCTGCTCAGTTGCAGTCACTTTGTTTGCCTAAGTATTTTTGTCTTTTAATTTCTTTGCTCAGTATTTTTAGTGTTGACCATTACAGTAATTTTATTGTAGTAAGGACTTCTTCTTTCCATAAATAAATAGGTTGCGATCTCATTTTTTTCTGCATAATTTATATTGATTGAGAGTTTAGAAGATGCTGGTGTTTTTGTGTATGTATGTGTGTATATATATATGTATCTGTATGCATACATATATGTTGTGGATGTGTAAATACATAAATGTTCTTCTCAAAATCTTTTTCTCAAAAATAGTAGCAATAACAGCAATATCAGTCTCCATAACTACTTTTGGTTTTCTGTTGGAGGCTCCCTCTACAAGGAATAGCAAATAACTTCCTTGAAGTGTGGGAAAAGCCGACATTGTCTTAGTGTGCAATGTGAACATTAGCATATTCTCAGGCTACCTTTTCCAAAAAGCACTGTTGGTTCATTTGGAACTATCAGACATTATCACTATTCTTCTGACTTTTATGACTACAATTCATTTTCATTTCAGAATATATTTTAAGTGATTTTCCTTTTTTACTGAGACCAGACACTATTTATTTATTTATTTATGTTTAGGCTTTTTAAGTGTGTGTGTTGTACAACTATTTTTTTCTAGGAGTTACAAAAGCCTAACCATCATTGCTTTCTGTATATTCCCAATATAAATATGCTTTAGATTTTCAGGTAATCGTATTTATGTACATAGGTGTGGTTGAATTACCTTTTTGCACAGGAGAAGTTAGATTTCTGAGAAACAAACCAAAAAAATCCTTTAATAATAGTAACAATCACAGAACTCCGCAATCTTTGCAATAACTGTCAATTGGAGTGTGTGTGTGTGTGTGTATAGTATGTGTGGTTTTTTTGTCTATCTCAATAGAAGAAGTATTAAGTTAAATCAAGATGAAATTTTGTAGTTTGAAAAATATCCTGTAAGTAAACCGCGTTTCACTATGATAATTATTGAAATCTTTATTTGCTACCTTTATTAAAAGTTGTGGGATTTGTAAGAAGAACCATGATCAGCATCTTCTTTTATTGTGTGATACCTGTAAACTACATTACCATCTTGGATGTCTGGATCCTCCTCTTACAAGGATGCCGAGAAAGACCAAAAACAGTTATTGGTGAGTAAAATCAGGAGATTTACATGTTTGGATTGATTTACTGTTAGTTTCAGCAGTAAAAGATGAAGTGTTATATTTATTCGTAATAAAGTATTTGTCACGTTTTAAAATTCACTGTCATCAATATTTATTATAGCATGTGACTGAATCTATAACAGCTTTTTGAGAAATGAATTTTTCATTAATTGTGGCTATTATCTTAGCAATAGATGGTTCTTTAAGCCATGAATTGTGTCCATTGTTTATAATTCTCTTGTTTTATTGTTAAGAATTTCTCAAATGCCTTATGTTATTTTGAAATTGAATGAATTTATCTAAAATTTGCTGTCATATTTATGATTTTACTTGCAATTTAGTATTTTTGGATTAGTGCCAAAGGCTTTACTTGGTATTTGTGCTAGTTATTTAAGTTCTACCATGCTTTGAAATCTAAAAACATTTGACAAACATTTCTGAATTTTTTTTAATTAGGCATATCAAATCACTACAAGTATTTGATAAAGGTTATGGTATCTATAATGAGTTTTATCCTTTTCTTAATTTGACTCTAAGAAAGGGACAGATGTTCAAATTTCAATAGAGTAATTTCTTATAGGAAGGAGAATATAGGAAATAGAAAACTTTGGAATGAACATGAATATTCTTTTTCTACAAGTAACCTTTCCAGTTTCAGGAAAGAGTGAACACTGAATTTTTAAATGGTAATCTCTGCAAGAGGTTGTGTGTGTTCCTTAAATACATTAGGCATATATTTCAATCTCATTGTCTTATTGGTTAAGACTACCTCTGTTCATTTAATTAGGAAGCAGAAGTTTGTTCACACATTTCACGGGATTCCTTTTTTTTTTTTTTTTTTTTTTTTTCTGAGACGGAGTTTCGCTCTTGTTACCCAGGCTGGAGTGCAATGGCGCGATCTCGGCTCACCGCAACCTCCGCCTCCTGGGTTCAGGCAATTCTCCTGCCTCAGCCTCCTGAGTAGCTGGGATTACAGGCACGCGCCACCACGCCCAGCTAATTTTTTGTATGTTTAGTAGAGACGGGGTTTCACCATGTTGACCAGGTTGGTCTCGATCTCTCGACCTTGTGATCCACCCGCCTCGGCCTCCCAAAGTGCTGGGATTACAGGCTTGAGCCACCGCGCCCGGCCGGGATTCCTTTTTTATAGTGTTCTTTTATCAATTTGTTTTGAGATATTCACACTGGCCTGTTCTTTTGAAAGGCTTCAGAAACTGCTGTAGCATATTCAAATGCCAACAATGTTAATAAGCGTCCTGGGTGGGGTTTTTGGTTTTTTTTTTGAGACGGAATTTCGCTCTTGTTACCCAGGCTGGAGTGCAATGGCGCGATCTCGGCTCACCGCAACCTCCGCCTCCTGGGTTCAGGCAATTCTCCTGCCTCAGCCTCCTGAGTAGCTGGGATTACAGGCACGCGCCACCATGCCAAGCTATTTTTTTTGTATTTTTAGTAGAGATGGGATTTCACCATGTTGACCAGGATGGTCTCGATCTCTCGGCCTCGTGATCCACCCGCCTCGGCCTCCCAAAGTGCTGGGATTACAGGCTTGAGCCACTGCGCCCGGCCTGGGTGGGTTTTTAAGTTGAAAGCTGGTTTGGTAGTCTCCAGAGCCAGGATGTTTTGCCATCAACTTATATGGAAATAGGCAGTTTTCTCCTTAAATGAGGTTATGGACCCTCCTGATACTACTGCTCTGCCTTCAGAGCTCTCTTTTCCAGTGTGTGAGAGTTTCTGGATGTACTTCAGATGGAAGTCCATAGCCTGTGCACTCAAAAAAAAAAAAAAAAAGGCATATTTTTGCTAGCCACAAGGAGGGAGCTGACGGCCATTATCCTCAGTGAAGTAACCCAGAAATAGAAAACCAGATTCTGCATGGTCTCACTTATAGGTGGAAGCTGAATACTGGTTACTCATGGGTATAAAGTTGGGGCCTACTAGACTGGGGAGGGAAGGTGGGATACTCATGGATATCAAGATGGTGCCTACTAGAGGAAGGGGGATCAAGGGTTGAAAAACTGTTGGGTACTCTACTCATTACCTGGGTGACAGGGATCATTCATATCCCAAACCTCAGTATCATGCTGTATGCTCATGAAACAAACCTGCACATATACCTCCTAAATCTAAAATAAAAGTTGAAATTATTAAAAACAAAATAAAAGAAATAATGTATATAGCTTGAGGTGTTTAAGTGAGAGCCCTCCTAAAAGAGCTTAAGCAATTTAGAGCCTTTTCATTGGTGTTAGTGGTTTTAAAATAAAAGTAGAAGTTAATGTAGCATAGTGATGCCTTTGATTTCTCCTTGTTTCTAGTGATCACATTTCCTTTGGCCTCTAAGATCAACCTAACTGTGGTTAGCAGTTGACTGGGTGTATTAATTTTGGAGTGTGCAAGATTCAGAGAATTATATTTTTTCTTTAGTGTGCCTCAGATGTGGAGTGTTTTTAGTTTTTGCTTTTTAACATGTTCTATTTATTTTTGAAGTTACATTACAGATAATAAATATTCAAAACTTAACACTTGTAAATTTTTTGCTACATTTTACTGTTACCTATGCTTTTGAAGTTATTGAAGTCTGTAGTATCTGGATGCTTGAAAAAAAATGATGTGCAGGTTGAGTATCCCTTAATTAAAATGCTTGGGACCACCAGAAGTGATTTGGATTTTCTGTTTTTGTTTTGTTTTTATTTTGGAGTATTTGTCTTGTACTTACTGGTCGAGCATCCCACATCTGAAAATCCGAAACCTGAAATACTCCAATGAACATTTTCTTTTACTGTAATGTCAGTGTTCAAAAAATATTTGGATCTTGGAGCACTTCAGATTTTGGATTTTTTGTATTTGGGATACTCAACCTGTAATAGTTGCTACTACACACCCTTTTCCCATCCTACATTCTGTGATGCCATATTAGTAATTTGAAATTGCCATGGTTAGGAGTATTTGTATTATAGAAATTAGTAAATATTACGTAGTAGGGCTTTCCCCACAGAGGGTCAAGTGTTAGACATTTACTAGCATATTGCTGACTGACTTCTGCTTTAGACTCTACCTTGTTCTTACTAGTCCTTTTATTAGGGAAAAGGTCCTTTAATTTCTCTTTGTTTCTAGTGATCAAATTTCCTTTGATCACTAGTGGCCTGTTACTGGATCCTTATTTGATGACTGTGCTTAAACTTCCACAGGTCCCTCTGGTATAACATTTCTAAATGGTCAGTTTATTTTTTCTGTCTTTATGTTCTGCATGCCTGTAGTAATACCATTACTCCTGAATACCCTTTAAGCAAACTGTATCTTAATTGGTATACAATCTGTTGCCTTTTCAGATATCATTTCTACTTGAATGACTATTTTAAGCACTTGCTATCCAGCCTTTTCTTCCAGTACCAGTACTGTTTTCATGGAGACACTAGATCTAGATTTGGATGTTTTCTGTTCACTCCATCCCAGAGGTCATTGGGCTGTGCTGGGCAGGTTAAGACATGTGACAGTAAAGAAAAGATGGATACAGATACAGAAATAATTATTGGTGGAGGGTAGGGAAGTTGAGTAAATTCACCTTGGACAGGCTTAGACATTTCAGTGAAATAGCAGGAGTCTATTGAGAGGGAAAAGACCTGGGATGAACATGGACTCTTGAAAAGATAGCAGATAGTTAATAACAACTTACTGTGAAAAAATCAAACTGACTTGCTGAGGCTGTGTAGCAGTAATGTTTAGTGCATAAGTAAATGTGATTATTTGAGTATTCTTGAATTATGCTCTGCCGCCCAGAAGAAGGAGAGGGGAAAACCTAAGGGCTTCTTAAGTTGGGGTAGGGATGTGAAAAGCTAGTAAAGAATGTTAACAGGTGGGTGAAGAATTCTGCAGGGAATAGAGGCTAGTGATGGTGTGATCTAGGCTCTATTTTGTTTGTATTTCTTTAAGGTGTTTAAAATGCATTTTGTGTTACTTTTAGTTTATGTTATATTGGTTTTTGTCATTGTTGTTTTTAAAAATATACAGTCTTCACACTGCCTTAAATTCGAAGACATGTTTGGTAGGATACTAATAGTAAGTACTTGATTTATTAGAGTAGCTCAAATAGTTAATATGTCTTAATTTTCAAATATTAATGTTATGTTTCTGCCTGCACTCATTTGATTGGAACTTGTGTTGCCTTTTCCAATTGTTTGAAGAATATTCTGAAACACATTATTTGACAGAGAATTGAGTAATATTATTATATCCTTTTATTCCTTGGATATGTCTTTGTTTATTTTGTGATGGAAAGAAAACACAAACCCTTCTAGGAATAGTTTATAGAGGTTTTTTTTTTGCCTTTATTATTCTTGATAATTTATTCATTAAAATTTTTTTATTGCCTCTTCTTCCCATCAACTGCTGGTAGGAATTCCAGCATTAGAATGGAGCATTTTTACTGTAAATGAAATAACAGATACAGATCTGTTATTAAAGTTTTATACTGGTGTTACAACTACAAAAAGAATTAAATTTACAAATTGAGTTAAATGTTGTTCTCTGCTCTTCAAAGAGACACCCATAATGCAGAAGTAGGGGGGCACTGAGGTGCTACTTAACTGAGAAGAATGGTATTTGAACTACCTGTAAAGTTTTATATAGGCACCTGTCAAGCCTGTCCTCTAAATACAGGAGAAAACATGGCCAACGGCTTAGATAAAGCAGGTGTGGGATCCTGAGTTCTTGGTGACTGAAAAAGATAATTTGTGGTGGAGAAAAAAGTAAATCATGAATTATTTGGAGTACAGAATGTTACTAGATTTATTGCATTTAAAGATTCATAAAATCCTTTTTTCTTTAACTTACATGAATAAAATTCTCTAAATTAGTACACTTTCTTGTCTAAGCACTGTTATACATTTTTCTTTAGTAATTGAGATTTTGAAATCCCCACTGGGTCATCGTTCTGATTGTAGGTTGTACTTGTATGGTGCTAGAGATGAAAAAGGTATAGAAAATTGAGAGAAGGCCAGATGCGGTGGCTCAGGCCTGTAATCCCAGCACTTTGGGAGGCTGAGGTGGACTGATCACTTTAGGTCAGGAGTTCAAGACCAATGTGATGTAACCTTGTCTTTACTAAAAATATGAAAATTAGCTAGGAATGGTGGCAGGCACCTGTAATCCCAGCTACTCAGGAGACTGAGGCAGAGAATTGCTTGAACGTAGGAGGCTGAGGCTGCAATGAGCTGACATTGTACCACTACGCTCCAGTCTGGGTGACAGAGTGAGACTCTGTCTCAAAAAAAAAAAAAAAAAAAGAAAGAAAAAGGAGGGAGACAGAATGGAAGGGTGAAAGGGAAGGAAGAAAGAAAGGTAAGTAGGGAGGAGGGAGGGAAAAAGGAAAGGAGGGAGGGCCTTTCTGTAATATAATTTGATAACTTCTCTAGCCATCTCTGTTTTGAAGGCTATTGCATTTATTACAAGTTGCTAATAATATCCGACATTTCTGGAGTTTTCACAGTTTAGTTATGTTAATAAATTCAGAATATACTTAACATTTCAATTCTGAGATCTTGTGTAAGGTGTGTATTTCTCTTTATCAGTCCTTGATGTTTTCCTATAGGACAAATATAGGAGCAATTTAGTATATTAATTTGGTTGTATTTTTGTTTGATGGTAATCTAACAATCTAGGGCAGGCGTCCCCAAACTACGGCCAGTGGGCCACATGCGGCCCCCTGAGGCCATTTATCCCCCCACCCCCACCGCCGCACTTCAGGAAGGGGCGCCTCTTTCATTGGTGGTCAGTGAGAGGAGCACAGTATGTGGCAGCCCTCCACCTGTCTGAGGGACAGTGAACTGGCCCCCTGTGTAAAAAGTTTGGGGACGCCTGATCTAGGGAATAAAGTGCTAGTTATACTTACATGAAGTGTAGCAATAGATACATAAAAGTTTTCTGAGTAATATATTACTATGTACATTTTTATTTTGCTTTCACACATCAGTTTTTTTGGTGCTAAAATTTTTGCTAACCTATTCCTAAATAATTAGGAATTCCAAGATATTTAGATTAATTTGTATTTTAGGAATAATATCTTTGCATTAACAAAACAAGTGGTACTTGGTATTTAACTCTGTTGTTGGAATTCAGAATTTAAAACTGTCACTTTGACAGTTAAATATTAGTTTAATAAGTTTACAGTATTAGTGAATGAAAGATGTGAATTTTGATGGAGCATGAAATCAAATCAAATCTTTGAAAATATTTGCTATGAGAATTATAAGCTACTTTTAAAAGTACGGATATAAACATATATAAAGTAAATATCAAATACAAGTTTAGAGATTATAATCATTTTTATTAAGAGAATACTGTCAGACTTTTGGAGAATTTGCTTTTGATCGTTCTTTTACATTTGGATAAAATATAAATAAAAATTTGACAACGGTTTTAACTTTTTGAAATGAGCCTTGACTGTTTGGCAATATGAAGATTTCCAGCAGTCACTGTTTAGATTTCTACTGTCTAAATGTTAGCCACTAGCCACATATGGCTATTTAAATTTAAATCAATTAATATTAACATTTGAATTTTTCTCAGTGGTATTTGCCACATTTCAAGTGCTCAGTAACCATCTATGACTATTGGCTACTGTTCTGGACAATGCAGATACATAGGTAATCCTACTATTAGAAAAGGTTCTATTGGATATCACTTGTCTTAAATTTTAGTTTCAGTTAATTTTTCGTATTACACATATTAAAATTATTTATAAATGCTGCTTTAACAAATTTCTTTAGTAAATAAATGTATATTTCTTTTTTTAGAAGTAGTAGGGGCCACCAACTAACATGACCTTTTTTCCCCCCAACACTTCTTAGAATCTGTTTCTATAGTTCCTTTTAGTATATTCAGCACAACTTGTCATTGACTGTAGTTAAAAGATATGGTAACTGTGACAACGAGTAGTGTTAGGGTCCATGAAGGGCTTCGATTTTCAGATATTACAGTATATGTTATTTAAAGAGAAGTCATGCTTTGTAAAGGTAAACTATTATTATTATTATTTGAGACAAGGTCTTGGTCTGTCACCCTGGCTGGAGTGCAGTGTTAACGATCATGGATCACTGCATCCTTGACCCCCTGGGCTCAAGTGACCCTTTCACCTCACCTTCCTACTCAGAAGCTGAGGTGAAAGGGTCACTTGAACCCAGGGGTATATCACCATGTCTGGCTAATTTTGTATTTTGTTTGTAAAAACAGGGATTCATTATACTGTGAGCAATCTTTCTGCCTCAGTCTCCTGAAGTGCTGGGATTATGGTTGTGAGCCACTGCAGCTGGCAAAATCACCTTTTTAATCAGTGTTGAATCTCATGTTTGTTCACTTATATAGCATTGTTAAATGTGTTCTTATACTTACAAGGATACATTAATTTGCCTTAAATATTATATTCACAGTAGTCATTCTTAGAGGAGTATTTCTGAATGTTTATTCATTATGTACCCTGTAATCACATTACCTGTGTATATTTTTATATATTCTTCTTACATACCTGGATTTTGTATTTATAAAAACATAGCTAAAGCTGGAAGATAATAATAAATACATGATTTTAATTTTTCCCCTTTATGTAGGCAGTGCTCAGAATGTGACCAGGCAGGGAGCAGTGACATGGAAGCAGATATGGCCATGGAAACCTTACCAGATGGAACCAAACGATCAAGGAGGCAGATTAAGGAACCAGTGAAATTTGTTCCACAGGATGTGCCACCAGAACCCAAGAAGATTCCAATAAGAAACACGGTAATTTATTTTTTATTTATCATAAGCATCATATAATTCTGAGGCCAAAAGATTTTGGCCTCAGAATTCAAACTATACTCAGGGCAAACATATAGTCAGAAGGTAAAGAAAAAGTTATGTATATTAAATGTAATATAGAAAAATTTATGTATTTTGAAATATACCACATACTTGCCTGAGTGTTTGTAGTTTATATGTTGTTGAAGACATAATAATAATGAACACACCAGCACATCCACCACCCACCTTAAAAGATGGAATATTCCCAAAGCTTTAGAAGTTTCCTGTAAATCCCTCAACAATCTTGTCTTTATCTGTCTAGCCCAGAGGCCACTTCTTTACTCAGCTTTATATTTCTCATTCACTACTTTTTCTTTATAGAATATATTTACACTCTAAATTTATGTATTTATAAATAATACATGGTTTATTTTTGCAGTTTTTGAATTTCACATCAATAGCATCTAATGTTTTTCTCTGATAATTTGATATTTTGACCAAAATTGTTGATTTGATTCAGACATGCTGACTCATATAGTAGTAGTTTATTTATTTTCACTTGTGTATAGTTTTCTATTGAAAGAATAGATCATTACCTAGTTTTTGTTTTGCTTTGTTGATAGGCAATTAGGTTGTTTTCATGTTTTTCTATTCTATACAACTTTGGTGTATTTTTTATTTTTATTTTATTTTTTAAATCAACTTTGTGATTTTTATTGATGGGTGACAACTTTATACTCCTAGGTATCACTGATCTGTGTACAATTAGGGATGCACCATTAGAGCAGAGCAGACAGCAGAATTAAACAGAGCAGACTGAAGAAGAGATCAGTCTTCATTATTTGCCCATTTTTCATTATGTGTACACAGAAGCATGCATGCGATTTGAAACCTTTTAATGGCAGTAAAGTAACAATCACCCATCTATGTAGACTCACTTTTTAACTCCAAATATCTGATTTGCAGTGTGTATACAAGCAGTTTTTTTCTGCACAATAATTAAAAATTTTCCCTGTTAGGGACCAGCAGCTTATTTTTTATGTTTATTTTTCTTTTGAAGTAAGAATTAGTTCTTCTTTGATAACTGGCTCATTTTTCTCATTTATTAAAAACTAAAGGTCAGGGAAAGAAAGGTGTGATGGATTAAAAAATTCTTTTTTGAGGAAAGATAAAATTCATTTTCACAAATTTACAAGTGTTACTGGTGCAGGATTTATTCTTCTAAGCAATGAGACTGGGAATCAGATGCAAGACTGGGACTCTATTCTACACAACTTTGTTTTGAATATTCTTATAAATGTCTCCTGCAGCATGGTAACAAGGAGTTTGTGTATGTATGAAGGTGTAGATTTGCTCAGTTACCGACAATCTGCATCTTCAGTTTTGCTAGATAACTACAGTTGTTTTCCAAACCAGTTCACACTGATACCAGCAATGGATAATGTTTCTGTTGCTTCACAAACTTGTTGTCCAGTGTTTTAATGCTTTCAAATGTGATGCAGAGAAAATAGTATGTTGACATTTTATGTTGCAATTCTCTCAGTACTAACAATTTTGTGCATCTATTTACATATTTTTGGTACTTTGTATTTCCTTTTCTGGAAAATATGTATGCAAGTGTTCAACCGATTTTTCATTTGGGGTGTTTACCTTTTTCTCATTGCAAATTCTTTGAGGCCAAGTTTTAAAGAGTTTCTTTCGGAAATCATTTATGTTCATTTTTACCAGGTACCTTGAAAGGGTCTCTACCAACTTGAGAATATTTTAAATAAAAGTTTGGTGTGTATGTTTTCCATTACTTCAGGAGTGTAAATTTTAAACCTTTAAGTACTGGCTTACAGTTAGGAATTCTTAGGGCAGACATATTTTACTTTCCTGGCTTGAGCTGAGGCAGGTACTTTTCAAAACTCTTTCTTTCCACAAGGGAGATATAAAGATAATTTTAGGGTTAGTTGTCATCATTTGTTTTGTTACCTGTTAAATTTTATTTTTTTCCTTAAAGTAACAGTTTTCTCAAAAATTTTTTTTTAAAAATCTGTATTAACCTCCTATATTATAGTTACTTAACAGATCTCATTTAGGAGAATTCGCCTTGATTTTTTAATTCAGTTTTGAGTTATGGACTCATATAAAATTGGTGAGGCAAATCTGGGAATTGTTCTCTCTTAGATAATTGAAATAGTTTATTTTGGATGTGCTAAGTAGATCAACTTGAAATAGTTTTTATTTGTAGTTTCCACTATTTATAACTCTTTTTTAGGCTTCAAAAATATATTTTGTTTATAAGGGAACTAGAGAAAATTTTCCTTTGTTTAATAAGTCTGCTAGTTTCTATTTCTAAAATATTTTCTATAATTGTTTGAAAATGGTAACTACTGTTATTCTTAAGATCTTAGAGAACAGTTATTATTTCATATGTCTGTATCTACAAAGATTATCCCCTTATGAAACACTGTTTTTCCAGTTTCTTTATTGTTTCAAGAAAGCCTTGTCACTAGTATTACCATCCTTAACTTTGGAGTTATCATATAGGGGAAAATTATGTATATTATGGTAATATTTATGTGCCGGTAGTTCAGTATTACTTGAGATAAAAGAGAACTCTATAATATTAAAAAATTATTCTATATTTTTCTCTCCTTTACTGGTCTGCATTTTTTATCCTAGAATTATGAGGAAGCTTTAAAATTTGCTAATATCATCCCATTCCTTTCATCTTGCTCTTTGTCTCTAGTTTTCTTGTTTAAAAGCTTTAGGCTTGTTTCAGATTTTGGTGAGTGAAACACCAGGAAAAAAGTCCATAATGGAGCCACTAATTTTAGGAAATGTGGTGTGATCGTTTCCTTACTTGTAGAAATTCAAATGCATACTGAAGCTCCATGAAAAAAAATCCTAATATTTAGAAAAATGATTACTTTTGTTTATCTATTCCTTTTCTTGTTTTTGTCAAAAAAGCATTTTTTAAAACTTTTTTTGGTAGCATAGAATACTGTGTTGTACCAAGTTTGGAAATGATACTCCAGAGGCCATGATTACTTGCATTAGTATTTGTTGAAATGTAGACTTTGGACCCACCCTACAGCTATTTTTGGACCATTCTAGAATTGATGAATTAGAATTTAAGGGGTTTGACTAAGCAAATTTCTTAGCAATACACTTACACTAAATAAAAGTTGAAAATAACTGCTAATGGTGATTACCTTCCCTCTTTCCCTCTTACCTTTTCTGCCTGCCTTCCAACAATCCATTCAGAAAACAAGACAATTGGTGTAAACAAGACGTACTAAACTGTTAGGAATAAGAGATACAGAAGAAAGTGATCAGTTCTTTAGATCTTGATCTTATCCTTTATGCTGAGTTCCTATTGTTACCTTAAGTTTTTATCATTTCTGTTTCAGAGTTGTGTTTCTCTCTTTTAATTAATAGGTGGTATGGTAAACAATGAGATATTCTAGTTGTGTTTCTTAGCACAGTGTTAATTATGACAGTCCAGGCATACAACAGTCTACTAACTTGTATAAATACCTTTTGAAATGTATAACTGATTTTTCTGTCTCACCGTTACATTTTTAAGCTATTGCTCCTAATGTCCTCCTACTTACACTTTTTATTTTAGCACATATATTACAGTTGGGAATATTTTGTCTTGAGATACATTATTATAGTATTTTTATTTTCGTCAGTTTTTCATTTTTCCTGCCATTAATTGATCAAAGTATAATTTGTTTTCATGTTAGTCTTATTCTATCATGATTTTGAAAAAAATTTTACCTTCATGACATACATAGAGCAATCATGACATACCCCAAGCTTGTGGACCTGCACTCCTGGCAGACAGCAACTTCCCTGCTTACCACAGAGGAATGGGTCCCATTCTTACCATATTTCATCAGTGAAACTGTAGAATTATTGTAAAGGCAGCCTTAGATAGCTCTGTTTAAGTACTTTGTTACTTAGAAATTTTCTCTGCCTTATTTTCTATGTGGAAACTTTTTACTTCCTTTTAGGCAAGGAAATTAATTTTGAAGAAAATATAAATGAGCTTACCCATATCCCTTTTGAAGTTACTGTAAAATTGATGTTCATACTTTGGACATATTTTCTAGAAACTCTAATGTAACTTGAAAGCTTTCAGATTTTCTTTTGCTTTCTTTGCACTCTATGTCATATAATGACTTTTCATCTTTTATAGAAGTGCCAAAGGACTTGTTGGGACCTGTCTTTCCATAGTTTTCACACACATGCATCATCATCTACTCTCTTTGAAGTTCTGAGATCTTTCTTTCTGACTTACAAATTCTGGTTTTGTTTAATGTATTTTCTTTTTTGCAAAATAATACAATAAATGGTCAAAGTACTTTTTAGCAGCTTTGAATAAAAACCATATTGTTTTTCAGGATGTATTATTTCTTTTAGATCATTATTTTGGAAGGGGATTTAAACACATTTAATCGTTTTTCCATCTCACTTAATGTGAGCCACTAGCCTGTTCTAAGTGGCAGTCTTTATTTGAGAGGTAATCAAATATCTTAGAGCCTACTTTTATTACATTTATGTTTTAACTAATTTTACACATATAAAAAGTACCTATTTAATAATGTTTAAGCTTAAGTCTTGAGAATCTGAAAATATGAAATGTTTCATATAAATATTTTTTTAGATGCTGGTTTAGCAAAAATGTTGAAGTATTTGGATTCAGTTCTGTTGAAATCACTAAAGGTTATTATATGTTATGTCCATATTTATTTTACTTACACTAACTGTTTGAATTATGACAGTTTTGGGAAAGAAGGGTTATCTGTGGGGGGGGCTTTAGATACCAGAATGTTCTATTATCAGACTCAAGGTGACCTCTCAGGTACTAGTCACATTATATAAAACCTCTGTCTATCACAGATTCTTAGAAGAAACCCTGGCAAACAGTTTTTGTAGTGAAATAGAAAATACTTAACTCACTTTGGCTACTTGGAAAAGATCCACTGTGGTTGCCCTGAGCTCAA